TGATGCTGAGTGAAGTGAGCAGAACCAAGAGAACGTTGTACACAGTAACAGCCACGTTGTGGGATGATTTATATTGATAAACTTAACCCTTCCTGGCAATACAAGGATCTAAGACATCTCCAGAGGCCTTGTGATGGAAAATGCTATCCACACCCAAAGAAAGAACTATAGAAGCCGAATTGCTAACTTTTTTCTCTTCTGTTCTGTTTTTCTCCCTCTTTCTGGTGGTTCGTCCTATTGGTTTTAATTTCTACTTACAATATCACTAATGTGAAAATATGTTTAATATGAATGTAAATGTATAGCCTATATCAGATTGTGCGCCGTCTTGGGGAGGGTGGTGGGGAGGAAGGGGGAGAAAAATTTTAAACTCAAAAGCATATGTAAGTGATTATTGATAAATCAAAATAAATTAATAAAAAAAAAAGTTCATTCTTCCACTGAACCAGTGCCCACGTACTACTAAAGCACGAGGTGCCTGCTTCTCTCGAGAGAAGTGTAATAAAGGCTTTCCTTCACTCACTCTCTGTAGTAGATTTTTATTTCAGATTTTTCTAACAGCTACCTCTCACCTAAACTATTGGAATAACTTAAGTGGTCTCAGTGCTTTTACTCTCTTTCCCCTCTCTAATCCTTCCTTCAAATAGCTGCCAAAATCAGCTTCCTAATTTTTAGGTATGCTCTTGGTATTAGTGGTTCTGATGCAGTTTGAAGGGTTCAGGGACCCCCAAGTACTGAAGTACAGGACAAGGTTATCTGGAATGAATTAACAGACTCAAGAATTATATAAGTCAAGTGGGCAAAAGTTTATTGTTACCCTATTCAGCAGGCAAAAGTTGTTAAGTTGAAGTTTATATAGGAAAAACTGTAGTAAAACATGTGCCAAGTATGCTAACTAGGTGATTCTGGCGGTGATTAGGGAGTGGTTAAGGAGTGGTCAATTCTTAAAGGACACTCACTTTTTTGTATCTACTGCACAGGTGTTTCACCCAGAGTTCACCAGGAAAAGCCCAAGGAGGTGCCCCCCCCCA